TGACTGGCTCGGGGGGGCACGTGCGGAGGGGGCTCCCACACACCCCCCACATACCCTCAAACCCTTCCCGCAAAACCCACAGCCACACCCTCCCCCAATCGCACACCCCACAAATACTGTATACACACCCCCCCCACCCACACAGCTCCCTACAAACCCCACACCCACCCACCCACACCCTGCCCTGATACCTCTGCACACCCCATACACTATTACAGGAGTAAGACTACATTTAGAGCTATTATGCAATCACTTCTATATATACACACACAACGCAAATGCACACAAATAAAGGACAAAAACATATATGTTAATTAAATTAATATATATTATGGGCATTTGATTTTTAGTCGGATATTGTTTGCTTTTCCCCATTTTAAGATGGCAAACCCTCTTCCCCAAAGGAGTACTTACAGGGGCAAGAGGAGGGACTTCTGGTGGTAAAGGTCAGAGGTTAGGGGCGGGACTTCTGGTCCCAAGATGACCAGGGGCAGGGCACCTGTCAAGGGGCAGGGCTACCCATGCAGCACTCAACAGCTTGCCAAAACTTGGTAAGAAGCCCTCTGTCCAAAATAATGGCCTGCCCCAGGATATACCCTTTTTATATACTGCTGTCATCCCTCTCGTTATGCTTCAAGTGAACTTTAACTCTTAGGGTATGGATAAGCAATTAAATTATAGCAGGTTAAAAAGTGACAAGAGTATAGCAACTCCAACCTGTTTTAGGCCTGAAAATGTATGACTTCATAACTACCTTAAAAGATTAAAGCAATTATAGCATGTCCTCCAGATCCATTCAGAGCTGGTAAAAAAAATCAACTTAATATAAAAATTTCAACAGTTTCTTGAACTGTTGTAATGAAAATAAATCAACTGAGTAAGTTAAAAAGTTTAGAAGCATTTTTTACATTAATTTTCAAAATAAACATCACATATGCCAAATGGCAAGGTTTGGTAGAAAGGTTAATCACTATCAAACAACAAGTGTAAAGGTTTTATTTGGTGGAGGTTACCACCAACAATAAAACATTAAGGATTTATTAATATAAAGCTGGCTATAAAGCTATACTCTTGGTTAATGCTGGATGCTACAAGGAAAGAATGCAATGCAAGCCACTGCATTTGCCACTCAATTAAAAAGAACACTGAAAAAACTTTTCTATTTATTCAGACATCTGCCTAAACAGTAATATGAGGTACAGGTGGTCCCAGTATTACAAGTGAACAAAAGCGTACTAGATCCACAATCAAGCTCAAGTGAAAACAGCAATAATATACTAGCAACTAGGATACATAAAGCATGTATTGGGTTTAGTCATCTGTGCACTCACCTTCATTTTCCCCACTTGTCTTCATGCCTTTTGAACTACCTTCTGTACCCTTAGTCTTATCTGGGTCATCTTGGGTATCCTCAGGTCCTCTCTCCTCTTCCTCCTCTTCACCAACATTTTTATAGTTGGGTCTCTTTTGCAACTTCTTCTTACCCTTCTGCTTGTTAATTTCAAGAGATCTTTCAAGTGTCTCTGTAGGTTTTATGAAGCATCTGATGCTTGACTTAGCCTATAAAATTTTAAATAAGATTTAAATTTGGCTTTGATTTACTACTCATATTATTTACTACTCATATTTTTCTACTCATATTATTCCTAAATTGATGAAGAATCTTCAGTTCACACAAAAAGAAGTTACAGAATTTTTTTTATGCTCCCTGTGCCTGAAGAAGTGTGTCTGTACCCGAAAGCTTGCAAAGAAGAATTTTTCCAACTATTTTAGTTGGTCTAATAAAAGATATCAGATTTACCCACAGAATCTTGTCTGCTTATGTCCTCAGACCAACACTACTATAACCAACACCCCTGAAATTTTTTTTTTTTTTTTTTACAGCATTTCATTCAAAAACATTTCAAAAAATAAATCTTAATTCTCTAATTCTGGGCCATCTACAGAATAAAGTAGCCTTAAAAATTTAAAAACAATCATTGTGGGGCAACATGAAATCCAGATCCACCTACTTCAAAATGTTAAGCCAGTAAACAACAAAAAAATGATCTGATAAATGTAAGTCATGCAGGCTCCTTTTAACCGGCATGTGATGTTAAACTAAAGCAAGATTTACAGGCACTACAAGCTATACCACCTGCTGCTTGCATTATACTATGGAGGTAGCTTGAAAAATAGGACTCATTAAAAGCCCTGTTATACAAGCATCAAAATGAAAAATAATAAAAAGAGAAACGTGTTGAGGGCAACCCATTAATATGAAAATGAAGTGTTAAAAACTGCTTACAAAACATTTACATGTGAACTTAAGGACAATTAGAGCACCGCCAGACATCTAACTTTTTTCGAAACTAAAAACAAGAAAGCCTCAAAGTATGCATAACTGGAATTTGTTTTCATATCAAAGTCAGTTAACCAATCAGCTAGTTTCATTTTACAAGATGATTTAAAGTTAAGATGCACCTCTATTCTTTGTGGTTCCATCAAAAACCTGTCTTATAGATAAAAATTTAAAAAGTGCTAGGGGCAAAAGTGTGCTCTTCTGTTCAGTCAAAATTGACATTTCATAGGAACTTATCAGATCATAATGATAAAAAGCAATGCTTGCTTACTAATGAAGCAAAGAGATTACATTCAAGATGTTTGAGATTATCACACTTCCTCTCCGATTATATTCTGCATACAATATAGCCCAAAAGAAGAAAATAAGTGCCTGCGTTTTGAGTGGAGATAATTACAGATCTGTTGGATACACTGACTGCATGTTTTAATGACACTGTAATACCAGACAGTGTTTAATTCCTACTCAAAATGAAGCATTCTTTACTACATTTTAGATGATAAATCCACATCATTCAAGGAAAGCACAGCCAAACAATAAGCAACAACATTATTTTCTTTGCCCAGTTATTTACTACATATATCATACACTGGTGTCATCGGGAAGGCTTCAGCTTCCACGACCACAGTCCACTCTTTGGTGAGAGAAGCAGTGAGCTGCTGGGAAGGGACAGCCTTTACCACTCTCCACTGGGGAGGAGGCTCTTCTCAGCCAGACTGGCTGACCTGCTCCACTGGGCTTTAAACTGAGCCCGTCAGGGGATGGAGGGACTGCTTCCACTACTGGCCTGCTGAGCAACTCTTGCAAAGCCAGCAGATAAAGGCACTTAAAGAAGCCCACCCCTGCCCAAGTCCTGGAACAAGTGGCGGGCAAGGCAAGAGCCCGTAGAGGAACACTTGCCTGCCTGTACACAAATGCCAGGAGCTTGGGGAATAAACAGGAGGAACTTGTCCTCCTGCTAAATGCAAATAACTGTGATGTCATAGGGATAACGGAGACCTGGTGGGACTCCACCCATGACTGGGCCACAGGTATAGATGGCTATACCCTATACAGGAGAAATCGAGTGGACAAAAGAGTCGGGGGTGTAGCTCTCTATGTCAAGGAAAGCTACACATCCCTGCAAGTATACATTGAAACCCACGGAGCACAGCTGGAGACCCTCTGGGTTAAAATCTGTGGGGAACACAGCATAGGGGACACAATGGTGGGAGTCAATTACAGACCTCCTACCCAGGATCAAGAGCTTGACCAGGAGTTCGCCAGGGAATTGGCTGAAGCTACGCACTCCCAGTACATGGTTGTCATGGGAGACTTCAACTACCCTGACATGTCGTGGGTAGAGCGCTCAGCCAAAAATCAGAGCAGTTGCAAAGCCCTCTCATGCATGGATGAGCTCTACTTGATGCAAGAAGTCAACGGGCCAATGAGAGGTAAAGCACTGCTTGACCTGGTACTGGCAACAGGGGACGACCTAATCAGCAACCTAACGATCGAAGGGAAGCTGGGTGACTGTGATCATAAGCTGATCACCTTCACCACCAACTGTAAAGCTGGCAAGTTAGTCAGCAATACAGAAATCTTCGACTTCAGGAAAGCTGACTTTGACAAGCTCAAGAGGTTTGTAGGTGAGGCCTTAAGGGAATTCAGGAAGAGTGGTTGCTCCTTAAGGGAGTGATCCTGGATTCACAAGCTATGTCTATTCTGTCTTGGAAGAAAGGCAGCAAAAGGGCATAGCAACCACCTTGGCTTTGCAGGGAACTAGCAGACCTCCTGCATCTAAAAAGAAAGACCTACAAAGGATGGAGGATGGGATCCACCTCCAAGGAGGAATATGCACTGGTCCAGACCTGCAGGGAACGAACCAGGAAAGCCAAGGCAGCAACTGAACTTCATCTAGCTACAAGTATCAAGAACAATAAAAAGTCCTTTTTTTTAGATATGTGGGGAGCCAGGGGAAAAGCAAGGGCCCCTGCTAAACCAGATGGGACAACTGACAACCAATGCCCAGAAAAAAGCCAACTTGCTAAATAGGGTATTTTGCATCTTTTTTTTTTTTTCAAACCAGTCCCAAGGGGTGCCTCTGCCCATTACGGGACAGGAACACCTAGTGAGGATGATTCCTTACCTTCTATCAATACTGACCTCATGAAAGAACACCTAGACAGGCTGGACACCTTCAAGTCAGCCGGCTCTGACAGCTTACACCCCAGAGTACTCAAGGAGCGGGCAAGCATCATAGCTCAGACCGTGGGGCAGGACACAACCTAGGGGTGCCGTGAACTCCCCTAGCGCCCCCTACCGTGCCAAATCGGGTTCAATGCACCCTCGCTATCTCACCCGCCACGTCTTTGGTGGTAATATTGTTAAAGGGAGGCTGCCTTTTTTTTTTTTTTTTTTTTACCCTCTTTGGCACGGTGCCCTGAGATGTCTCCATTTGTGCCCTGCCTTCGCTGACACTGCACTATAGCCTCCGGGGCTACGCATGGGTCCTACAGTCACCCATGTCCTCACGGGGCCTTTGGCTCGTCGCTCCCCGTTGCCCGTGCCCGCACTGGGGCCTCTTCCTTGTGCTCCACGCCCTTGCCCACACTGGGGCTTTTCCCTCACGATTCCCACCTGCACTGGGGCCTTGCCTCGCGATTCCCGCCCGCAATGGGGCCTCCCACAATCAAGGCTCAGGTGGCCATAGCCGTGCCTGGCCTCCAGACCCCCTTCGAGTCTTGCGCCCCACTGGGCTCCTTACAATCGAAGCTCAGATGGCCGTAGCCGTGCCTGGCCCCCAGACCCCCTTCTCGGGTCTTGCGCCCCACTGGGGCTTCTCGCCTC